CTTTAACTTCTTTTGCAAACACTTCTGAACTGCGGTAAAATAGTGTGCAACAAACGACAAATGTTTTTGACTGTAAAAACAGGTCATTTAATTGCTTTAAAATTGTTTTATCACCTTACAAGTCACAGATTTTACTTATCTTTCAAAAGGCTTTCAATATGTCAAATAAAACTTAGTTTTTTTTACTCACATCGACCGATGTCATTTTTGAAAAGAACATTGATTTTAATTCACTTTTTTAATTAAAATAGTAAAGCAAAGAAACGTTTGCTAATATAAAAAATAATTTTTTCTTGTATAGCTTTTATTCTAATCGTTCTCTGCTTAAAACAAGTTTGAAGTACATTGATTGCTTTTCTCTTATTATTTTGTTTATCATTTCTGATTTACTAAAAACTTTTAATTAAAACTTATTTTTGATAATTAATCACTGAAATCAACTAGAACTATTCGGTTTGGCCTACAGTATGAGACGAGCTTTGTTCTGTCGAAAAGATGCTTGATCACTGATTGACTCATTTTTGAAAAGCCACGTATTACTGTTTAGTTAAAGAGCTACAAAGTTTATAGTTTTATCTGCTAATCAATCGACTGGTCTTCTAAAAACCTAAAAAAATTACAAAATCTATAACTTTGTTACAAACCGTTGTGAGCAATTCCAATCGGTGGTGCTACAAGGCCTCGTTGTTCGTATCGTCGTAAATAATTACAGAGATGCTTCAACCGTCTTTCTTTACTTCTACGATTTTGAAACCATACCTGCGGAAAAAAATTTGTTTATTTATCTATTTTTTACTGTCTCAGTGTGTCATGAATAAAAATTTACTTTTCTTTTTGTTTTTTTTTTTATTGTACCACTGTCGTGAAGCATATGTTGAACGATATGCTTTACAGAACAGCTAATCTACAAAACACTAAATACAGCGTTAGAAAAATAATTTCTAATTTTGCCTGAATAACACGCATACTGAGACCAGTTTCCAAAGCCAATTTAGCGCGAGCATGTTTCGATGGCTTTGGTGTAGAGGTGAAAATCTGATTGAGTACATCAAGCTAAAATTAAAAGTTTGAAACACTTTGATTATATCGCTATCAAATCATTAATATAAAAATTCTTTATTTTTTGCAGTAATTAAGAAGAAATAGTAAAAAAAAGCAAAGTTATAAATATTAACTTGGTCTTGTTTGATGGTGGTTCGTGGTCCCCGTCTTTTTAGCAGTTTATTTTCATCCATAAAATCGTAAGCATACCCATCGTACGTAAACTGTGTCAGTTGGGCAAAATCATTTTCGCTTTAAATGGCAAAATGCTTAGAAATAATTAAAATATTAAATCAAAAGAAATGTTCTCTTCACGCTAGTTAAATATTAATAAGTTACAACAGAAGCTTGGTTTTGATAGTCAAGAAAACAGTTTCTCATCTAAACGTTTAATAATTATCATTTTGAAAAAATTTGATGGCAAATATTTAGTGATTGTTTGATATAGTTAATTAGATACAATAAGTGAGTTATCTGCAGATAAAGTTTTTGTAATTTTATTAAAAGTTTTTTTAAGCAAAAATTGATAAGTAAGATTTCAAATAAAAAAAGAAAAAAACAACTAATAAAAATAAAAATTATTAAGGCTTTTGAATACCTTATGAGTTAGATCAACAAAGGTTAAAATCTGCTGAAGTAGACAGCATAAAAGTAACAATTTTTAAAGACCGCTTTAACAAATATCAACAGAAAAAACGTTTTTTCATATGTCTCTGTTGATTTGAAGGAAAAACTTAGCCAATTTACCGCATTTTTATATCATTCTAATCCCATAAAGTATTACTGCTTCAGATTGTTTATGTTTCTCATGGTTAATCTTGTAGTTTCTTTTTAAATCAAATTACTGAATGAAAAATATTGGTTTGATTTTGATAAGTTACAGCAGAATCTTTGATAGTAATTTTTAGTAGAGTTAAAAAATTGTTTATTATCTAATCGTTTTATGTCTGTCGTTTACGAAAAATAAAAAAAAAAACTATCACTTTACTTCTAATCTATTTCTTAAAAAAATAAAGTTCAAGAAAAGAAAACACTTGGTGTTTCAAAAAAAAAAAAAACTAAACGCTGTACATATACTCCGAAAAAATATGTACCATAAGCCGCTTTTACTTTTGCCACTGCTGTCAGTTTTATATCAACGCTTTTTTTTT